TGGTCTTGTTTTCAAAAAATTTACGTCAAGCAGAAAGATGAAAAAAAATAAAAATCGTCAAGGATTCAAGCGGATAGGTAAAATACTCGGTACATTATTCAATGCTTCATGTATCTTCTACTGATTACAATGGTCACAACTTTAACCTATTGACTGCAGTCACCAGGCTTCTTTCGTAAAGAAAATCCTCACTACAGAAGCCACTGCTGGTCTTGTTTTCAAAAAATTTACGTCAAGCAGAAAGATGAAAAAAAATAAAAATCGTCAAGGATTCAAGCGGATAGGTAAAATACTCGGTACATTATTCAATGCTTCATGTATCTTCTACTGATTACAATGGTCACAACTTTAACCTATTGACTGCAGTCACCAGGCTTCTTTCGTAAAGAAAATCCTCACTACAGAAGCCACTGCTGGTCTTGTTTTCAAAAAATTTACGTCAAGCAGAAAGATGAAAAAAAATAAAAATCGTCAAGGATTCAAGCGGATAGGTAAAATACTCGGTACATTATTCAATGCTTCATGTATCTTCTACTGATTACAATGGTCACAACTTTAACCTATTGACTGCAGTCACCAGGCTTCTTTCGTAAAGAAAATCCTCACTACAGAAGCCACTGCTGGTCTTGTTTTCAAAAAATTTACGTCAAGCAGAAAGATGAAAAAAAATAAAAATCGTCAAGGATTCAAGCGGATAGGTAAAATACTCGGTACATTATTCAATGCTTCATGTATCTTCTACTGATTACAATGGTCACACCTTTAACCTATTGACTGCAGTCACCAGGCTTCTTTCGTAAAGAAAATCCTCACTACAGAAGCCACTGCTGGTTTTGTTTTCAAAATTTTTACATCAAGCAGAAAGATGAAAAAAAATAAAAATCGTCAAGGATTCAAGCGGATAGGTAAAATACTCGGTACATTATTCAATGCTTCATGTATCTTCTACTGATTACAATGGTCACACCTTTAACCTATTGACTGCAGTCACCAGGCTTCTTTTGTAAAGAAAATCTTCACTACAGAAGCCACTGCCGGTTTTGTTTCCAAAATTTTTACATCAAGCAGAAAGATGACAAAAAAATAAAAATCATCAAGGATTCAAGTGGATAGGCAAAATACTTGGTACATTATTCAATGCTCCATGTATCTTCTACTGACGTATTCTTAGTACAAATTCTTGACACTAGCACAGGCACAGTCATGGACACGGCAAAGATACGATAAAAAATATATATATTTTTATATAGGATAAGGCATTGATACGATAACTAATTGTAAGAAGAAGTGAAAAAGTATGTATGATAAGGCATCCTATCAATCGAATCCACAAATGAAGCAACACTTGGAAAACAAATAGAGACAAACTTTGAAATGCCCTTCAAGGAGTTTGGCAGTTCTCCTCTGTAATTAGCCTTTAAAAACCCTTCTTTCAGCTAAAAATATTCTCCTCCATGTCCATTAGTTACTAACAAGGGCACTAACCACCTCTGCTTGAATTACACACTTAGAACTCCCTTAATTCATCTGTTACACATGTCATATTGGAAAATACTCATATTGCAAGTTTGTAAACTTGCACACTTAGAACTCCCTTAATTCATCTGTTACACATATCATATTGGAAAATACTCATACATTAACCCCTTACATTCTAAAATTGGACTTTAGCCCCTCCTTGTCTCGATCATGTCTAGTTTTCCAACAAGCATGTCACTACCATCTTTGTCAAAAAAAAACATTTAAAATAGGGATATGTTCCCAAGCATGTCTAATGTGTCAGAATCCTTGCATGACTATGGGTTGTGCACAAGAGGCTGTGAATCGCACTGATACGTGAGGCAAAATCACGCGTCTATGCTTCATAGATTAGAGTAAAGTAAAATTTCGATAACAACAAAACTCCCTTCAACGAAGTCTAATTTAGCTTTTAACCAAGTTCAAATGAAGTTTACCAATCTTGGATTTAAAATAATAATAATAATAATAATGAATACTTCATAATCGTATATTTTCCTTAATTTTTAAGGCATCCAAATGGAATAAAATTAAAAGGAATGAATGAAGAACACAAACTTTGACGTTCAAAGTTCTAAGATGCACAGTTTTCTACCACTGACACTCAAAAGGACTGTAGCACTCATAAATCATCAAGCATCATCACATAAAAATTTATAAAACTATAAAATAAACCAGAAGCAAGATGTACCAGTAGATTCAGCAGCTACCAAAGTAATAACCCATATGGTTGGTTACCAATAAAACAGAACAAAGGAACAGAAAACTAGAAAGTTCTTTTATTATTATTATTATCATCAAATTTGATTTCTGAAGACAAGGCAATCAACTCAACTAAACCCAGGTTGAGGGCTTAAGCTCAACCCAAAATTTCCAACATCAAACTTGATCTTTTTACCTATAATTCAAACAGCAACCAATCCAACCCCAATAAAGGTCCATGCATAGACAGCAATTGAAGATCAGCACAGAGATCAAATTCTAGTATTTCAGTGAGGGCAAAATGGCCACAATCTTTAATAGCTATAGGGAATTATGAAGCATCTGAAAGTCAATGAGACTGGAAATGAAACCTTTAACTGAGTTTCTTTAGAATTTAATTTCCTAACAATTTGGCATCTACAAAAGTAAAATTCAACTAAACTAGTTTCCCAAATGGAATGTAATAAAAATACAAGGCTCCACTCATTGATCTGTATCCCTATCCTACAATTTGTCAGAAAACAAATTTAGAAGGGCAAGAAGAGTAAGATCATCTGAATTGGGCTCAATTGAGTAGAATTTTCAAATATCTCAATTACCAACTACAGAAAAACCCAAAAGCACAAATCTTTCCCATTTCCCACATTTTCTCAGCAACCAAACACAATTCAACAGAAAAGGGAAGGAAACCCATCAATCCCATCTGAGAGTTGCTGAGACTGAAGAAGAAGACCTTCTCTTCGCTTCTTCAAGAGATTGTCCTCGCGCTTGTTCTTCCTGATCTCCACCAGATTGTCCTCTCTCCGACGCCGAGCTTCGTCGCCATCGACGCCAGTTTTGTAGGACTTCTTGCGGACCTCTGTGCGAGAATTGGGTCGCAGAGACATTGCTGAGTTCTCTCTCTCTCTCTCTCTCTGTAGAGGTGTTCGACGAAATGTCTGAGAGCAAAAAGACTGATGATGAATTGGATTTGAAGAATAAAATAGAATAGAATAAAATGATGTATATGGGTAGAATACAAAAGGCTAGGTGGGTCTCTCTCTCTCCCCCTCTCTCTCCGGTGCAAGGTTAACTTGCCCCCTGGTTCACGATTGGATTCGAAGACACATGGCATCGCCAACTCACCAACGTGCCTTTTGCTTGAGTTTCAAAAAGATTTTAAAATTAAAAATTATTTCAGTCTAAAAAATTAAGGTCTTGTTTGGGAAGATTAAATAAGTCTATATTTTTTATCTTTTTATTTTTTTTAGATTACATCAATTAACATCTATTCTCTATTTTTTTACACATCTTTTTATAAAAAGTAAAAAATACACTTATTTAGAACATTCCAAACAACCTTAAGAAAAATAGCAAGTATCTTATCCTCTTTTATTTTTATGTATTTTCTTGTTTTGTTACTCTCTCCAAACTCAAGTTGGTTAGTTCCTATCCCCCTTGAGTTTGCGGGGGGCTGTTAAAACCTATCACCTACTTCACCCACTTCACCTACTCCACTACACCTACTCCACCCATTTCACCTACTCCACTTCACCTACTCCACCTACTACCTATTCTTCTCTTCTATATATAGGAATTGTAAACATAACAACTTATATTAATCAATAATACATACAATTTATTCTCTCTCTATCAATTTATTTTACATTGATTATAGATGTAGCTTGTGTCTATTTTTTACTCTATTTGGGGAATTGGGCTACAACAAGAATCATTTAAACTCTGCAATTTCTTTATGCTAAAGGGTGTTTGTGACCATAACCATAAAATATTTGGTCTGGTTTTGATTTTTTCCTCCTAGGTTGCTATAATTCTGTTCCGTCTTTCTGTAGCTCTTTCGTAGTTTATTCCTTCCTTTTAGTACCTCTCTCTCCCTCCTCGAACATGATTTTGAAGACAAAAAAGGGCAGAAAAGAAACACAGCCAGAAGTTACCCTTCTATTCATTACAAAAAAGAGAATGCCAAAAAGCTTGTCTGAAAATGTTATGGGAATTTGATCAAACTAAGAAGTTTTTTTTAGCATAATTTTTTCATATTTAAATGATATTCTATTTGACGCAATAGCCCATTTGGTACAACTTATAAGTTAGCTTTTATGATTATTGCTTTTTAGATTATTATCTCAGAATAATTAAAATAAGCTGTAAATCTGTTTTGGGTGGCCTTTAATAATCTGTGAAAAACGTTAAACATGTTTGGTTAAATAAGCTGTCACATAATTTTTTTTGTTGTGCAAATATCTAGAATGCACACAAAATGTTTTGTCTCTATGTATTTAAGGATTTCAAATAGCTCAAAAAACCTACAAATTATAGTTTATGAAAATCTCACCTTTTTTGGCTAAATAAGCTAAAAAAGTCAAATAAGCTCTAATTTACAATTGCAACCAAACACTAATAGTCAACTTGTTTAAAGCAAGTAAGTTGAACAAAATTGAATTTTAAGCGTTACCAAACAGGGCCAATATAATATATTTCCGTACACCATTGACATCAGGATTCAGTTCCAGCTGACCATGAGGTTAAACCAATGAACCTCATCTCGGTCTCTTTTCTGGTTTATTAGATAAACCAAGTTTTACAACATTTATAAGTAAAAAAGACTTGGAAATTCATTGACTGTTAATGATGGTATTCTATTTTGATACAATATAAGATCCTTCCATACATCATTGACATCAGGATTCAGTTCCAGCAGGCCATGAGGCTAAACCAATGAACCTCATCTTTCTCTTTTCTGATTCATTAGACAATCCAAGTTTCATAACAGTGATAAGTAAATCAGACTTGGAGATTCGGATGGAAATGTATTGACTGTATACAGGTCACTAGCTTCTGCCTTTCTGGTAAAAAGGAGCAAAATAAAGAACTTATATATATATATATATATATTTCTGGAAAGAATGATTAACTAGTGGCCACAGAAGTTCCAAAAGCCCTTGCATACACAGGAGCTCTCATATTGAAAAGGTTCAAGCATTAAGTTTTACAGAAATCAAAGAAAGGTCTCTGTTTATAGGTAGAAATAAATGAAGGGTCATGCACATAATAAAGTAATAAACCAAAATACGAAACCCACTTTTTCTTTTTCATCCAGATGAAATCAGAATCCTTAGATAGGAAGTATTTTGCCTTCCACTAATTTCACTACAAGAATGCCAAAGGCCCAAAAGAAATTTACTATACTAATAAACTAGTTATTGTATTGATAATTGCAAGTGAATATCATCTTTTTGTATTGGTATTAGCCAATACAATGTAAATGAACAAATAAAAAAAAAATGATGATACTGCATCAAGCTGCAATAATGGTAAGAATTAATTGCATGGATGTAGAAATCATTAATACCTGAGTTTGGGTGTCATCACCTCTTACAATGTTTCCCACTGTTCTAAGAGCAGGTATAAGAACCGTAGGCGATGGATGACTTGTGGAAGACAAATTTTAGTTAGTACCACTTTAACAAATCTGGCAACTATTACATGAAAATAAATAAAATAAAATAAGAGCACAAAAATTCAGCCTAGAAAAAATGCAAAATGTTCCAGTAATTTGCAGAAAGGATAATTTTTCTGCACAACTAATTCTAGAAAACTATAAGAGGAATCCAAGTTAAATCAATGTCATAATTTAAAATTTTAGAGAAAACAGGAACATACAGCAGAAGCTTCACAAGTCGTGGACAGACACCTGCCTCAATCACAGCTTGAATTTTGTCATTTGGGCCGTCAGAAAGATAAGAGAGTGCCCAGCAAGCATTAGTCAAAACTTCTTCATCATTCAAGTGGATAAGTTGTCGAAGAACTGGCAATGCAGGTTTCACCTGAAAAAGCCAAAAAGAAGATAACAACATAACTAAACTTGCCCACCTTAATACAGCCAGGAAAGGAGGCCAATTATCATTAGGGTTACAAATGAGCCGAGCTGAGCTTTTAGGTGTTTAGCGTCCGGCTGCTAGGTTCATGACTACATCATGAGCTAAAGAGCCAAGATCTGCTCGGTTTGGTAGATTAATTCTAGTGACATGTGTTGCATTTTTTTTCCTTTTTTTTTTTTTTATAAAAAATCTGATTTTATTGAGAAAGTGTCAAGATGATGCAAAAGAATACAAAATATCCCAACATGGGAAATCACCAAAAACAGCTAGAAAACAACTAAAAACACCTAACCAATAACATCATCCAAAAAGTCTAAAAAAGCAAACAAATCCGGATCCCCCCTCCTCTCCAACCAACTATACAAAGTAACCAATAACCAGTTTTCAAGCCACGACACAATCCGAGATAACTCTTGAAAAGTGTGCCGATTTCTCTCCAGTCAAACCAACCACATCAAACAAAATAGCACCAACAACTAGACCCAGCGCCGATGACGTCCTATTCAAACCCCTCTCCAACTGCACAATAACTCCAAAACCCCCCTCGGTTGCACCCAAGCAACTCCAAACATAGAAAAAATACAGCCCACAACCTCGAAATCACAGAACAATGAAGAAACAAATGATTCACAAACTCCGTATCAACACAACACATACAACATCGATTAACCGACACATGTCCACAGCGAACCAAATTATCAATAGTAAGATTCCGTCCCAATGCAGTCCATAAAAAGAAAACCACCTTAGAAGGAGCACTTGATACCCATATACTCTTCCAAGGAAAAACCTCCACCTCTGAAGCATGGACTCTCCAAAATCGGTGTTGTGGCGGTGTCCGACCCGGGGACACGGCGGGGACACGCGTGTCCATATGGGGACACGGCATGGGACATGGCGCGGACACACGTGTCCATATGGGGACACGGCAAGGCTTTTTTCTTTTCTTTTTTTTCTTTTTTTGCCTCTCTTATTTAGTGCTTTTGTGAAGAATATTGTTGGATGTTGAATGTTTTCCCCTTCTCGTCTTAGTTTTTGTTATCGTTTATTATTACTTTTTTGTGAATGAATGATCTATTAATTTGTTTAAATGTAGTGGTTATATTTATTGAATTAATGTTACTATGTTAGTGTTTGTTAATTTTGATTTAGGGTGAATGTAATATGTTTCTACATAACACATAAAAATATATAAAAAATAAATAAAATAAAATTCACCGTGTCCCCCGCCGTGTCCGTGTCCCCATTTTTTGGAAATTGTCGTGTCCCGTGGCTGTGTCTGTGTCCATGCTTCATAGACCTCCACTAACTACCCCTCCAAACTCCGATAAAATAATGAAACAAAAAACTAGCCTTTGGTAGCCGCCACATCCCAAACTACCACATCTTCCCACTACCAATAATCCCTAATCCATACAAGAAGCTGAGCAACTTCTCCAATCGACCCACCTCCCAATCCTGAACTTGCCGGTGCAACTGGACATCCCATGCCACCACACCGCCCACCTCCAAACAATCCGCAACCGTAGCCTCCCGATCCATAGCAATACTAAAAATCAAAGAGAACCACACTTCCAACGAAACCTCCCCATACCACCTATCCCTCCAAAACAACACCTTCTCCCATGATCCCACCCGATACTTGACCCTATCTCAAAACTCCCCCTCTCCAACCAAATCCCCTTCCACAAACCCCAACCATAAGACCCAACAACATCCCCCGACCTCCAATCCCCCCTTCCCACCCTGTACTTGGCAGCAGCACCCTACGCCACAACCAATCCCTCACCCAAGCAAATAACTAAAACACTTCCCTAATAATGCCCTATTAAACGACACCACCCTTCGCACCCCCAAACCACCCACCTCCTTTGGACAACAAATCCGCCCTCAATCAACCAAATGATATCTAAACTCCTCCCCTCCACCCCCCAACAAGAAATCCCGCTGAAGCTTCCCTAAGTGAGTCGCCACTGAACACACAAGAAATCCCTCTAAAGCTTCTCCAAGCGAGTCGCCACTGAAACAGGAATGACATGCAACGACATAAAGTAGGTCAGAATACTGCTCAACACACTTTTGATCAATGTCAATCTTCCCCCCTTCGACAAATATTGCTTCTTCCATCCCGCCAACCGGCGGACCGGCGCTGCACCCATTCCACAACCCTTTCGCATATCCCCTTTGCCTTGTAAGTAGCACCCAATGGTAACCCCAAATAAGACACCGGCAGTGCAACCATACAGCCCAAAACTATTGCTAACATCGACAACCTACCAACCTCCCCCACTGGAATCAACTCCGACTTACTCAAATTAATCCGCAAGCCCGACACCACCTCAAAGCACAGCAAGATGCACCTTAAGTGACATGTGTTACATTTTAATTATTGCAAGTTTTTTTTTTTTTTTTCCTTTTTTTAAAATAATGGACCAAAATTGCAGAAACTTTGGAAGAGTTGGTTAAGTGCATGATATGCGGGGCCACCTCTTGTATTTGTATCATATTCTACGTAAATCTTTCAAATGCCAAGGATAAACATGCATAGATTTTGAAAAGATGACTGGACAACTGACGACATGCAGGGTCCTGTTTTTATCTTTTTGCATCATACATACCATATTTACCTTCAACAGCCAAACTTCAAGTTACCATATAGGCACATAGTTTTTAAAGAACTACAAAACAGTCAAACAATGCCTATGCTCTCAAACATTAAAAAACTGAGCATGGGTCAGCTCGGGCTTGGTTCATTTATGAAACAAGCTTCAAGTTCAACCTTGAGCTTGGTTCATTTAATGAATAAACGAGTTTGAATGAGCTCAATCAAAAATTCTTATCCCGAGCATTTTATGAACAATTCAAATCATCTAGCGCCCTAATTATCATTAAAAATCTATAACAATCCTTCTGCAAGATTATTGTTAAATATAAAACAATACTTTGAGATGTCTCACAACCTGCTCAAATGGTGTTGGAGGCTTGCCCCGACAGAAGTTGGACAGAGTCCATGTAGCATTTCTCAGCATAGAAAGTTTTGAGTGTTCATTCAACTGAGCTAGCAAAGGCATAAGTGCACCATTACCAAGAACAAGATCCCTACAACTTGGAGAGCCACCAGCAACATTACCCAAAGCCCATACTGCCTGTTTATACATCATAAAAATTAAGAAATGCAAATTCATTAGTAGTCACAACCAAAAATAATTATCGTGTCAACAAACAGTTAGGTGCATTACTCAGAATTTAGAACAACAGAGAGTATGAAAATTCTGGAAGCGAGGGATAACATTAAAATTTGGTAAGACATTGGGAAAATATAAGAAAAACAAAACAATGAAGCATAATGGAATAATACCGTTGCAAGAATTAAGAGAAGTGAGGTAAGAAAAGGGGCTGAGCACACATTGCTATATTAAGAGAAGTTGGCAATAAATATAAAAGTTTTCAAACATTTAAAAATAAAGAATCCAGAAGTTTTAATTAGGAAATCACTTCAGAAGCATGGTTAACAATGTCAAGTCAAACACTTTGTACGAATTTTAACAAGACTTCCAAAATGTTTAGAAAAGTTTGTCACACGTGAACCTAGAATAACAAGAGCTTCAAAGAAAAATGGGGCAAGAGTTTACCTGCTCACGGACATCATCACTGGCAGAGCTCAAAAGTAGCACGAACTTGGGGACAGCACCATGTTCAATGACAACTCGAGTATGCTCTGATGTCCCAGCTGCAACATTGGTCAAAGCCCATGCTGCCTCAAACTGCAAACAAAGACAAAATCAAGCTTGTGCTAGATTGATTACATCAATCAGAAATAGAGCCAGTTCAGTGAAAAAAAAATAAAGGTACAAATAGTCCCTACTTGCAGTTGAGGCAGATCTTGCCTTCCAAGAAACTCCACAAACCGAGGGACTACACCTGCTTTGATCACTTCATCTATTGGAGGGCTGCGTTCTACACGCATCACAAACCAAAAGTCAACACTAAAAAAAGGTTCATTGAAGTATTCCTAAAAATATTACCAATACCACAACTCCACCCATACCAATTGATAATAGCTTCCTGAACTGAGTAGTTGCTTCTATTTGCGCTGCAGGATCTTCAGACCATACTCCTTGCACCATCAAAGGAATACTTTCCAACTGTTACACATCACAAAGAACAAAAACCAAAATCAAAATAGAATTGTTAAACCAAAAAGCACCAAGTGGAAAAGTATTTGAATAAATCTGAATTGCCTTTCAGAGTAAATCATTGAATTGGTTGTTCACACTCACACCTAATAAGTTGACCCAAATCTATTCATGTTACACTTCAGTTATATATTCCATTGCTAACCTAAAAAATAAGGGTAAAAATGAAATCGGATCAAAAAGGCTAAATCAAACTCTATTAGGAACTGCATTTATGACATATGGGTGGCATAACTAAATCAAGAACATTCCAAAAAGCACTTCAGGCTCCCAATTAACTTCAGGTTTGTCATGGGCGATTTTTATTTACAATGGTTACAACTTTAACCTATTGACTGCAGTCACCAGGCTTCTTTCGTAAAGAAAATCCTCACTACAGAAGCCACTGCTGGTCTTGTTTTCAAAAAATTTACGTCAAGCAGAAAGATGAAAAAAAATAAAAATCATCAAGGATTCAAGTGGATAGACAAAATACTCGGTAGATTATTCAATGCTCCATGTATCTTCTACTGACATATTCTTAGTACAAATTCTTGACACAAGCACAGGCACAGTCATGGACACGGCAGAGATACGATAAAAAAAAATAAAAAAAATTATATAGGATAAGACATTGATATGATAACTAATTGTAAGAAGAAGTGAAAAAGTATGTATGATAAGGCATCCTATCAATGGAATCCACAAATGAAGCAACACTTGGAAAACAAATAGAGACAAACTTTGAAATGCCCTTCAAGGAGTTTGGCAGTTCTCCTCTGTAATTAGCCTTTAAAAACCCTTCTTTCAGCTAAAAATATTCTCCTCCATGTCCATTAGTTACTAACAAGGGCACTAACCACCTCTGCTTGAATTGCACACTTAGAACTCCCTTAATTCATCTGTTATACATGTCATATTGGAAAATACTCATATTGCAAGTTTGTAAACTTGCACACTAAGAACTCCCTTAATTCATCTGTTACACATATCATATTGGAAAATACTCATACACTTACCCCTTACATTCTAAAATTGGACTTTAGCCCCTCCGTGTCTCAATCATGTCTGGTTTTCCCGACAAGCATGTCACTACCATCTTCATCGGAAAAAAAATTTAAATACAGATATGTTCCCAAGCATGTCTAATGTGTCAAAATCCTTGCATGAATATGGGTTGTGCATGAGAGGCTATGAATCGATTGGACCTGTCAATCGAATGAATCGTAACACTGATACATGAGGCAAAATCACACGTCTATGCTTCATAGATTAGAGTACAGTAAAATTTCGATAACAACAAAACTCCCTTCAACGAAGTCTAATTTAGCTTTAACCAAGTTCAAATGAAGTGTACCAATCATGGATTTAAAATAATAATAATAATAATAATAATGAATACTTCATAATCGTGTATTTTCCTTAATTTTTAAGGCATCCAAATGGAATAAAATTAAAAGGAATGAATGAAGAACACAAACTTTGACGTTCAAAGTTCTAAGATGCACAGTTTTCTACCACTGACACTCAAAAGGACTGTAGCACTCATAAATCATCAAGCATCATCACATAAAAATTTATAAAACTATAAAATAAACCAGAAGCAAGATGTACCAGTAGATTCAGCAGCTACCAAAGTAATAACCCATATGGTTGGTTACCAATAAAACAGAACAAAGGAACAGAAAACTGGAAAGTTCTTTTATTATTATTATTATCAAATTTGGTTTTTGAAGACAAGGCAATCAACTTAACTAACCCCAGGTTGAGGGCTTAACCTTAACCCAAAATTTCCAACATCAAACTTGATCTTTTTACCTATAATTCAAACAGCAACCAATCCAACCCAATAAAGGTCCATGCATAGACAGCAATTGAAGATCAGCACAGAGATCAAATTCTAGTATTTCAGTGAGGGCAAAATGACCACAATCTTTTAATAGCTATAGGGAATTACGAAGCATCTGCAAGTCAATGAGACTGGAAATGAAACCTTTAACTGAGTTTCTTTAAAAATTAATTTCCTAACAATTTGGCATCTAAAAAAGTAAAATTCAACTAAACTAGTTTCCCCAATGGAATGTAATAAAAATACAAGGCTCCACTCATTGATCTGTATCCCTATCCTACAATTTGTCAGCAAACAAATTTAGAAGGGCTAGAAGAGTAAGATCATCTGAATTGGGCTCAATTGAGTAGAATTTTCAAATTTCTCAATTACCTACTACAGAAAAACTCAAAAACCCAAAAGCACAAATCTTTCCCATTTCCCACATTTTCTCAGCAACCATACACAATTCAACAGAAAAGGGAAGGAAACCCATCAATCCCATCTGAGAGTTGCTGAGATTGAAGAAGAAGACCTTCTCTTCGCTTCTTCAAGAGATTGTCCTCGTGCTTGTTCTTCCTGATCTCCACAAGATTGTACTCTCTCCGACGCCGAGTGTTATGATTTAGGAAGTTTTTAGGAAGTTTTGGATCCAATTAGCTCAGTGGGCGCTGAAATTCAGGAATTCAGTTTGAGAGGGAGAATTAGTTTGAGAGATTGTTTGATTGTTGGGGGTTAGTTAGTGGGTTAGGAGGTTTGTTAGTTAGTTAGTATTGGATGTATATAGCTATGGTTGAGAGGGGAAAAAGGGGGAATTTTTTTACTGTAATCAAGTTGTATGAGAAAATGAATGGATTCCAAACTTAGTTTTCCATTTTCTCTCTTCTTTTTCTTCAATTACTGCTTTCTTCTTTCATAGTCATATCAATTGGTATAAGAGCAAGGCTATTCTTGGTCTGCAAGAGAGATTCCACAGAAATGGCAGATGGAACTAGGGCACAAGAATAAAAAAAAATCGATGAAGCAATACGTACTCTTAAAGACAGCAGTGATAGGCAAGCACAGGATATCAGAGAGATCAGAAATTCATTGAAAGATGTGAATGAAATCAAGGAATTGATTTTTGCCATGAATGTCAAGTATGATCAAATGGCAAATGGAGTTTTTAGATCATCCAGAAACCATGGAAGCTCAGGTTCGTTCAGATTCATCTCAATTCTCTACTTTTTTCAATACCAGATATGCAAGAATTGATTTTCCAAGATTTTTTGGGGAAGATTCCACTGGATGGTTATATAAATGTGAGAGATTCTTCGATTATAACTCGGTTGAAAGTGCAAATAAGGTGAAATTAGCCACTCTACATTTAGAGGATAAGGCCCTTCAATGGTACCAATGGTTTGAGAAATGCCATCGCCAGATTAATTGGGATCTGTTCAAACAAGGAATTATTTCTAGATTGGGCCCAACTCTTATGAAGATGCAATGGGTGATCTGACCAAATTAAGGCAAACAACCACTGTGAAGGAATATCAGGAACAATTTGAGATTCTGGCAAATAAAACCAGTGATTTACCAAAAGCTTTTTTCATTAGTTGTTTCATCAGTGGCTTAAGAGAAGACATTAAGGCAGGGGTGTTAATGTTCAGGCCTACTACTATAGTTCAGGCCATTGGATTGGCTAAAATGTAGGAGAATAGCATTGAAGCCATAACAAGAAGAGCCAGACAAGGGAATGAAGTGGGAGAATCTACTTTTTCCCATCAGGCCAAACAAAATCCATTTATGAATCCTGTGAAGAAAGAACTACAAAAGGACTTCGAAGAAAAAAAAGCCAAAGGATTATGTTTCAAATGCAATGAGAAGTATACAAGGGGCCATATCTGTAAAAAGAAGCAATTATATGCTCTGGAGGTTAAACAAGAAGATCAAGAATAGGTGGAAGACGAGGGTGAAGATGTGGATGGAGATCAGATTCCATAAGAGGAATTAGAAATTTCTATTAATGCCCTGTTTGGCTCTATTTCCTATAGAACTATAGGGGTAAAAGGCAATGTCAAGAAAAAGCTAGTCATGATGTTAATAGACTCGGGAAGTACTCATAATTTCCCAAGTCCAGAAGTAATCAGAGAGTTGGGATAACGGCCTCAGAGACAGACCCATTACCAGTTTCAATTGTTGATGGAACCAAACTAATGAGCACAGCAATATGTAAAGGATTTCGGTGGGAAATGCAGGGTACCGAATTTCAAGTTGATATGAGGATTTTGCAGCTTAAGGGTTGTGACATGGTTTTGGGGATTTAGTGGTTAGCAACATTGGGTCCAGTGAAATGGGATTTCAAGAATCTTAGCATGGAGTTTCAGTTGAATGACAGAAGGCATGTGCTAAGGGGAGGAAAGAAAGAAGAATTGACAGTCATTGGGGCTAATAAGATGAAAAAGATAATTCAGAAACAAGCACATGGAGTTGTAGCTCAGGTGTACTCTCTTCAAGCTGAATGTAATGAACTAGAAGATACATTGTCACCAGACTTGGAAGCATTATTGGCTAATTATGAAGATATTTTTCAAGAACCTAAGACCCTTTCTCCAAGAGCTCACGACCATTGCATACCATTGAAACCAGGGACAGAACCTACCAATATCAGGCCCTACAGGTATCCCGATTTCCAAAAGACTGAGATTGAAAAACAGGTTAATTTCAGGATTTATTAGAACCAGTGTTAGTCCTTATTCTCCACATGTGCTATTAGTTAAAAAGAAAGATATGAGTTGGAGAATGTGCATTGATTATCGAGCCCTAAATAAAGCTACTGTGAAGGATAAATTTCCTATTCTTACTATAGATGAACTCCTTGATGAATTGTGTGGTGCTAAGTATTTCTCTAAGCTGGATTTGAGATCTGGTTATCACCAGATCAGGGTAACTCCTACAGACATTTACAAAACTACACTTAGAACCCATGATAGACATTATGAGTTCATGGTAATGCCATTTGGGTTAACAAATGCCCCATCTACTTTTCAAAGCTTGATGAATGAAGTTTTCAGGCCTCACTTAAGGAAATTCATCTTAGTATTTTTTGATGACATTTTAGTATACAGTAGTACATGGACCAATCATTTGCATCATTTGCAAA